TTGCACATTTTTATTGTTATTATTGTTGTTGTTGTTGTTACCTCCCCCGCCCCCAAAAGTTCAGGCAGGTAGCCAATCAGGTCAGCTGTTTGCACTGATCAGGGCTCCTTGAGTCTGTTTGTTCGGGACCTCAGCAGCCTGAACCTCCCGCCAGACGGCAGCAGCTCAAACAGCCGGTGTCCTGGTGTGTGCCGTCCCGGAGGACGCTGCGTGCCCTCTGGAGACAGCGAGTGCTGTCCTTCAGGGAGGGAAGAAGATGTATGAATGTATCCATGAAGCCAGATAACACACACCAGTTAAACTGCAGGTCTTAAAGATCCCTGCAGCTGCTGTCAGCTGTTCTTCTGACCGAAGCTGTTCGGCTGCAGAGCGTCCGGATGCTTCGGGAAACAAGCTGAAGCTGGAAGCGGCCTGGGACGTCTGCTCGAGGTCACAAACATCCTCAGCTGTTGTTTGTGTGTCTGCGTCGTGTTCGGTGCTTCTCACGCCGCAGGTGAAGAAATGTTTCATCAGGTTAATTCAAGCGAATGACTGAAGCGGTTTCAGGGAAACATGAAAGAAATAACCTCTGTGGATTCCTGCAGACTTCCCCTCGGGTTTTCTCTCATCTCGCTCGTACTCTACCTTTGTGGGTTTGTCTCTGCACAGCGCTCTGATTGGCCGATGCGCTGAGAGGGGCTGTCCCGTCGCAGCGGGTTGAAGCTGGGAGAGCAGTGAGCCTCGCATCAGTTTTGAGTCAGAGGCGTTAGACGAGGGACAGGAAGTCGAAGGAGAAACCAGCAAAAAGACAGAAAAGAGAGCAAAGAGGAAGCGGAGGCCCGGCCGTGACAGAGCGCCGTGACAGAGCGCCGTGCACAGCTGTAACCTCTGCAGGTTCGTCCCCGTCTGCTGCTTCCAGCTTCACGCTGGGCTTCAGCTCTAATCAGCTGATTTGTCTCGGTGTTACACTGCTCGGGTCTGACGGCTGAACGCCGTCGGGCGCTCTCTCATGACCGTGCTGCAGACCTCATCAGCTGTTTACGCTCTGATGGTTCGAGGTGAAATGAGCTGTGAGAGTGCGGCTGTGGTTATTCTCCACACAGCTGCTTCTATTCGAAGCTGAAGTCGTTCATGAGTTATTTAGAGTTTAACTGTCTCAGGACGTCGACTCCGTCTTTATTCTTCAGCTCGAATGTTTATCTGTTTCTCTTTATGTTTGTTGTTGCTCTTCTTCCTCGTCTGCCTCACCGGCAGCAGCAGAGTGACATCAGCAGCTGTAGCCCCGCCTCCTCTCTCAGCAGGCCTGGGATTCTGGGGGTTTTCCTCGGCTCAGCCACTTCCAGGAAGTGACTGAAAGCAGAGCGAGATACGGGAAGGGGAGGGGGCAGAGCGAGGGGGGAGATTAGAGACAAACAGCAGAGAGAAGGAGAGACGGCGTGCAGCGTTTGAGTGCGTGAAAGTGAAACTGCTGAACTTTGGATCGCTTTGCTGCGCTCGTGTCTTTGTTCGCCTCTCGGGACTTTCAGCCTGAGGGGCTTAAAGCGACGCGGCTCGCCGATGGTTCCTCCGACACGCCTCTGACTTCTCTACGCTTCTCTTCTGTCTCTGTTTGTGCTGCAGGATGACTGAAGCCCAGTTCATCGGCGGCTACGAGCACGACGTAAGTACTTCTCTACATTTGTCTTTATTCTCTCCACCACAGGAAGTGTGTTTTTAATCCAGCTGGTCAGCGAGCGTGCCCGAGCCTCGCTCTAACCGTTCGCTCTGACACGAGATGATTTCAGGTCTCCTCTGATTACATCACCCTGAATGGATTCAGAGGTTTTCTGCACATCTGTGAAGTTTTATTTGACGTCTAGACGCAGAGACGCGTTTACATCAAAGCCTGAATCAAAGCGTGCGGTTTGTTGTAACCCTGTGGAG